TGACTACTTTGCCTATCAAATGGAAAAATAGCTACATTTGAGTTACCTTCCTCTCCACCATTTTAGGTAAATACATACCTTAATTGAACTGTTCTGCTAAGGCAAAGACCATATCTATATCTTCTACAAGAGGGTTGTTCTATCAATAAATGAGCCTTGCAAAAACATCTCCCTCATTTTGCCAGGGAAGATAGGCAGTCGCCTAACCACTGTGCCCAGCCTTTTCTAAACAACTCCAGGTCAAACAAACTCAAGTGTTATAATCCTACAGTGTTTTTGATGGTTCTCCCTTGGTCTGCCCACAGGATTCTCCTGTAGTTTGGGGCTTAAATGTTCTAAGAGCAAAACAAAATGTCTTAATGCCCAGAAATAATGCAGGGACGATGGCACACATATAGGAGGGTTCATGCAATACAGCCAAGTGCAAAGTGACACATGGGTACCATGTTTCTGCTATTATCTCCCATTAGGGCATTTCTTAAAGAATATTCTTTTTATTCTCCTAAGACTATGATTTTTTTTAATAAAACATGTGGGTACCTATTATGATTGTATTCATCTAGGTCACAAAATGTCATTTATTTTAATATCCACAACGAGTTATGGATGAAGACCACCCTTCAATCACTTTATAAGTATGTAGTAGTTGTGAGTACTGATACATATTACACAACGTCATATACGTATAGGTAGTTTATATTTAACATACACATATAGGTAGTTCACCATAATGTGCTCACAATGAATACAAACATAAACCTTAAAAATTTTCCATATACCAGGTCTGATTTGATTGTTTTAACACCTGTGAGGTGAGTACAACAGCATTGCTATGGAGTATGCAAAAACAATACTGCAATTTTATATAACAATTATGTAAGCATTATTTACAGAAAGAAAAAAAACTTAAAACCTTCTGCTAAGGGCATGCAAATAATTAAAGCACTCCATTCATAAATCTTCACCTAAGGGAAAGTCATTCCACTAGTTAATTTTACGAGTTATGAAGATGATATTTGTTACTATTTTGTGTTTCATTAACTTTGATAAGTAAAATATGGATATTCTATCTGTTCTCTAAGTTGGGAAAGTAAAAGTAAATAACACTCATAATTTTTGGTATTAAAGAAGTCATGAAGTGGGAACAACAATGCCCTAAGAGAGCTTTCAAAGCAGGAACCAGATTAGTGCTTAGTCACATATACTATATTCAGGAAAGACCCCCACATAATGACCTAAAGTTCTTGGATTCTTTTCTTAGCTTGTAGCAAAAAGCACAATTTCTAAACCTGACCCCTTGCCTTTCTGCTCCCCATGTGATTAATAAAAGTCAAAGAAGAATAAAGTGAACCAAAATGCCTTGACTCAGTCCTAATGCATACACTCTAGTCCAGCAGTTGCAAGGCTGGTATCACTTGAACCCTCAACTCTCCTGCAGAAGATACCTCCATCTTGAAATTCATGCCTGAAACAGCTACAGGTTCACTGGGGCTACGGTACTGATCACAGTCATTCCAGAAGCCTCCACGTGACAATGTGACTGGTAGCCCCAGAGCTGCCCAGGACACAGCCTAGCCAATTACCTTGCCTACATACACCAGTATTAGGCCGTTAAATTGGAAAATGACTTTGCAACAGTTGGTTTTATATTGATAGAATCACCATTAAGCTAAATGTTCCCCATCTCAGCAGAAAAGAAGTCAGATTTTAAATATTTTTATTTTTTATTTTTATTTATTTATTTGAGAGAGAGAGAATGAGGGATAGAGAGCACGAGAGGGAAGAGGGTCAGAGGGAGAAGCAGACTCCCTGCTGAGCAGGGAGCCCGATGTGGGACTCGATCCCAGGACTCTAGGATCATGACCTGAGCCGAAGGCAGTCGCTTAACCAACTGAGCCACCCAGGCGCCCAAGAAGTCAGATTTTAAAGGATATGCCAATACATGGCTAATAAGATATATGTAGCAAAAACATATATTGCAGTCAACAACATGGGTGAAGCAAAAATTAACAAGTCTGTCTTAATCCCTCACCTCAAACTCTCTACACCAAGGGGTCCTTAGCCCACTCTCCCATGAAACATCACTGGGGACACAGGCAGGGAAGCATGGCACTTGGTGCTGAGAAGTCACAGGCATTTACTGAACCCTACCCGGGTATTCAGAACTGACCTCTACCTTATCTTCCACGTCCCACATTTCCCATGCCTACCGTGTTGACTACACAGGTTTTTATCAGATATTTGCAAGTGAAGGAAGGGGAGGGGAGAGGGAAGAAAGAATTCATCCCTGTCCTCAAGAATTAACCAGATTCTACCATGAACCCTCTTGAAGAAAAATATGGAAACCATCTTATGCTTGCAGACCACTGAGATATTGCTGAATGTGGTACAGATAAGGGTCTATGGGCTCAAGAGCCCCCTGCACGGAGGGAAGAACACTAAGAGAGCTTAGAGAAGGCTCTTCTTGTTACGGCCATTTCCCAACCCCTTCCTACCCACAATTCTACTATTTCATTTAGAGGAGTATATTCACCTCTTCCCATGCCGTAACTACTGGTATTAGAATCAGATGATAAAAAATTATAATTTCAATGACAATTTCAAGATTATCTAGTACAACCATACTTGGAGGCCTGACTTTCTTGAAAGCATCCCTACCAAGGCACCTATACTTCCCCTTAGAGACAAAGACTTTGAACATACTTCAGAAGTGAACAGCCCTATTTAGTTTTCTTGAATGAAGGTGATTTTTTTTTTTATCCCTTTCTCTCTTCCGCACTCTGAAGCCACACAGAATGTATCTAACCCTTTTTTCATATGAGGTCTTCAAATATAGAGAAAGGACATTAATATCCTTTCTAAATCCTGACTATACTGAACTTCACCAAACCCTTCATCCACTCCTCATGTGATATGATTTCTAGTTCCCATACCAGTCCGGTTATTCTATTCTAAATGGCATCCAGTTGTCTATGTTTCTCTTCAAGTGTGTTGTCTAAGCTGGGTGTGACCAATCCCAGGAGAAGAAGAGCTCAGCAGCCTCCTTCTAGATGCCCAACTCTCTTAATGACACCAACTGTTGAACTGACATTTGGAATAACCATGATATACTCTATTTACATTAAGCTTACGTTCAATTCAAACTCCTCTAAGTTTTGTGTTTCAAATTAGTTTTAAATTCTTGCAGCTCCTGGGGCACCTGGGTGGCTCAGTCGTTAGGTGTCTGCCTTCGGCTCAGGTCATGGTCCCAGGGTCCTGGGATCGAGCCCCGCATCAGGCTCCCTGCTCCTCAGGAAGCCTGCTTCGCCCTCTCCCACTCCCCCTGCTTGCATTCCCCCTCTCGCTGTGTCTCTTTCTGTCAAATAAATAAATTAAAAAAAAAATCTTAAAAAAAAAATTCTTGCAGCTCCTAAGTCACCCTTCCTTGAGGACCCTGGACTCAAATTTCAGAACGAATTGAGACGATAATAATCTGAGGCTACTGTTTGGACCATTTCTTTCACTGACTAAGTCTTATGCACTGACTGCTTCAGAATATAAACAGGAGTCATCCCGAATCAAGTCAGAATTTAACAATATATATATAGCATGGCTCATATAAAACTTATAGAGGAGATTCTGAACAAAGTGTGTACAGGAAAAAAGGAAATAAAAATTTGAGGATCTAGGAAGAAATATCCTTTCTGTATCCCTGAAACTAATCTACTGCCAAGGTAACTCAAAATGTTGTGTGCATGACAGAACAGCAAATCCCAAGGTGTACTTCAATACACATCAGTTATATAGGAATTTAACGGATATTAATGGAGAAATGGCAAACACCAGAATAAGCAAAAATAAGCCAAGTAAGGCTGTTCAGGGCCTTAAATTTGCAAATATGAATTGTGACATCTCAGACCTAATGAATCATCAAAACTGTCTCAAAAGGCTGTTCAAAATCATCAATTTCTGGACCTCACCCTGAAGATTCTGATTTAGTAAGAATGTGTCCTTCAAACAAGTGTCTCAGATGATTCTGAAGCTGCCAACTTATGAACCACCTCAGAGAATCACTGGGATATGACCACGGAGAATCTGATGCTAACAGTTTTTCTGGGTACATATCGTCAGGAATAATATGCTAGGTCCAATGAAAAGCATAACCAACTTTTCCAAATAAGCTGCCTAACTATCCTGAACGTGTCTCTAATTCCATATTAAAAATGTATCTGACATAGTTTTTTTAAAAAAAAAAGAAAAGAAAAAACAAGTTTTGGCCATGTCAACATATGTCCTGGAAGCATAAACAATGTAGGACAATTATCCCTGGATGTGTCCAAGTCACAGCAAAGTCTTAAGGAAAAAAATCTTTTTGAGTAAGCGAGATGCAGGGTTTGGGATGAATCTTATCCAGGACTAAATGACCGCAGTTCCATCCTAGTAACCCTCACATTTACCTGCCATGGAATTCATTGGCAAAATCAATTATGATTATTTGTCTCCGTTTACTTAAAAACATACTTTTAAAATTTCATTCTGAGAAAGCTTGTAATTTGGGGAAGCAAACGTTAAGATTGAAAGCACTTATGAATACAAACTCAAGCAAAGAACAACTGAAATTTGGCAGCACATAAAAATGTCACATTACTGTCACAACAGAATTTTGCTCTTCCAAAAACAATATATAGCTCCAAAGACACACACATATATCCACTTACAAATGCAGCACACACACAATCATTCTGGGAACAGCCAGCTACTATACATTGCACATCAACTGAATAGTGCAATTTATCTCAATTATTACAGCACAAATAATACTTGCCCTCCCTTTCTCATTAATATTCTCTCAAGGGATGGCTTTCTAAAAAGGAAAAAATAAATTCATAAGAATTTCATAATTCCAAGATAAAACAACAGTCATACACCTAGCTGATATCTAAAAATATTTTTTAAATAAAGATTAAACGTGTAAATTTTTCTTAGTAAAACACAAGCAAGCTTCTTTCTCTTTTAGTTACCTGCAAAATGTGACTTCCCAAATGTGCTTCAAATACTTCAATGGCCAGTGCACTGGGGCTTCTCCTTCGTTGTGCACCTATAACTTATTAAAAAACAAAGAAGACGAAAAAGAAAAAAGAAAAAAAAGAAGAAAACAAATTAAGTTGGAGCTCTGATTCACACTTTTAACTTATTTTCCCACTAACTACACATCACTAGATGGTTACTATGCCAAAGAGCTCTGAAAGAAACACAACCCAGGGTTCATTTTGATTCTGAGTTGCCTGAGCAAAAGCAGACATGAGGCTAAATTTTCAACTCAGAATATTAATTTCTGCGAACATGAAAAATTATATCCAGACTTTTTCACTTTTCATGCACATTTAGACTGTGTTTCCTACACTGGAGCAAAACCATGCATGTTAACATTTCTTTAAAATAAATTAGCAAAATGTTTCTCGTAAAATTTAAGAATTGTTATTTTTAAAGCACACATATACTGCCTGCCCACGTACTCCTCCCCCACCCCTCGCCAAACCCCCCAGGACTAAACCTTTCATATCTTTTAGGCTAGGAAAAAGCAAACAGGACATTTTTTTTTTTTTTATGTTCCAAGGCAATAACTTTATCACAATTTAATAAGCACAACATGTCAGATAAGAGATTCTCATTAATGACTGTTTGCACTAGTGTTAAGTGTCTCAGGATGGCTGGATTTCATATTTACTGAACACTCATGTGTAACTATTCCTACAGGACCTACAAGAAGCCCAGGTAGACTCTTGCCTAGCACATGCCTCACCAGGGAAGTGACTGTTTTCTTATCTGAATCCTCGGGTTCTCCTACTGACTTAGGATCTGTCCATCCCTTCCTGGCAGACCCTACATGTGTTGTTTGAAGGCCCCTCACTCAAGGAGCCTCTGATAATCCTTAACAAAAGTGAGCTTAATGCAGGATATTTGTGGGATCCAGGATCGAGGGTCTTTCCTTTACCAATTTTCTTTTGCATGAGGTCACCATTTGCTTTCAAATCTGTTCTGGGTATTTTTCTTTAAAAAAAAAAAAAAGTTTTCAAACATAAAAATCTGCTTTATAGTAACTTCTGGAAGGAAATATTTAGATCTTTTCCTTATTTCCAACAAGTAAATCCCTCAAGTTTTCCTGTTTTTCTTGCAAATTTTATTATAAAGCTCTACCTTCCTCAAACCTACACAATAAATTGAAATAAAACCGAACCCCACTTTCTCACATCTAAAAACACTTTCAGCTAGTTGACAAGAAAATTCCAGCAAAATGCTGCTGGGGTAATTCTGCTTCATTTCAGTTACTCAGTCAGTTGGATCCATAGCTTAGTAGGGATTATAATATAAATGTACTTATGACTATTGTGCTGTGCAGAAGTAGGCAGTTTACCCCTGCAATTGTGAGTTAGTGTCTGCAATGTCTGAAAGGCACTTTGAAAATAGCATGAGTGTTAAGTATCATTATGACTGGCAAGAAGAAATAAAAGGGGCATTTTTTTCAATGGGAAAATTTATAAAATATAATTGAAGAGTGATTATTATCAAAGAATATTCCAGCTGGAAGGGATCTTAGAAATCTCTATTCTAACTTCCTCATTTGCTTCAGAAGCAAAACACACAATAATTTTAAAATAGAAAAATCAGTTTTCTATCCTAACATTAATCTTTACTATAAGTATAGACTTGAGATTTTTAAAAATTTAATATTCAGATATAGTTAAGATACTACTGCTGTGTGTGTATGTGCACATTTCTGATTAATTTCCTATTCTAACATGCACATTACTCCCTTCAAAACTCCTTTGGCATTTTTGATAATGCAGCTGTCTTGCTGAATACTGTTTTCAGTTTCTAGAGTGTTAATTGCACATTATGGTAGCTTGGTGTGAATGATCCCACATGAATAAAATCTGCAGTCCTTTTTTTTTTTTTTAAGATTGTTGTGGGGAGCTTCTGGGAGGGGGGGGAGGGAGTTGAAAAACTTCAAAAGTGTCCACTCTCTTTTTGAGGCAGTAATTAGGATCCAGAAAGCTCCTTATTAGTAATAGTTCATCATTTGTGGGCATTTCAGGACTTCCAATTTTGAAGTTCAAAATAAACCATTGCACTTCACAGAAGAAATGGACTGGAGAACACAGACTCTTCTATAAAAAGCTGGATTAAGAAGAGGCCAGGAGAGCAACATCCTCCAACCTAGAGAGAACCCTAAAACATCACAGCAAATATTAGTAATGTTTTATTTACTAGGAGGCCCAAGAGGCATGCTCCAGTAACAACAGATGGCAGCCCAACTGCCTTCTGGAAGCATAGAACATTGACTTCAGTGGGGGTGCTTACAGGGGTTATTCAAGCCTGGCCACTGATGGCCTTTCTTTTCTTGCCTTTTCTTCACTTAGGGCCCAGGCTATTCTCTAAGTAAATGCTGCAAATGCATAAATAATTAGGAATTTTATTTAAAAAATTATTCACCAGCCTGAGGATCCCACACGTCTCTATCAGCTGTTACATCCACGAGCCCTACCTGCCTAGTTACCCTTCTTTGTTCCTCAGATCCTCCAGAAACTGGAGTGTGCATCCCAGTACATGCCAGCATCAGACACAAAAGTGCCTTGTAAGTGGTTTCATGCTATTCTATTCGATGGCGTTTTTATGACACTGGAACTTCTCTTGATTTATATGTTTTGCACTTATGCAGGTGATGTGGGGCTGTAATGACAGTTCCTAATTTTACAGCCAACATAAATATGTTAAACAGGAGCCCATTATGCCCGTGGTAGAAGCCCAGCTCTGACTCAGGCACTATTGGTAATGAAGAGATGTTAAATATGCACTTTTCTTGTTTTGTACTTTTCATCCTATCGCATTTGGGGAACTGAGACAATCATCCGGTCACTCAGGAACAACGCAGACACAGTTATTTCGCTGCTCTATGTTAATCTCACGTTGCTAATGGAGTATCATTAATGCCTAAGAAAAACCAAAGAGGTGTTCCCTTCACAAAGTCCATCATTTTCAGAAAAAGAATATACTGCTTATGAAGCACTCTCTGATTTGTGTGTTTTGGGAGTTGACCGTTTCTAAAACGATTCGGTAGTCCAGACAAATGTACACTTATTGATGAATGGGTCACGGTTTCATCTCATCTACTGACATCATTTCATGTATCTGTTTGCTCGGTTAAAAGACACTACCTTTTCAAATTTAAAGAACACTAATCATATTAACGAAACAAAAACAAACAACAACACGTTGCTAAACAGATGGAGTTTGTAATCTCTTATCTGTGAAGAGCATGTCCCTAACTCACTGACAGTGAGACATGAGAACTGGGGAAGTTGAACAGCTTATACAAACTGTTAAAAGAAAAAAAAAATCAATAATTCAACTTCAAATGTGATTCAGCATTTACTGAGTACCAACCTGAAGTTGAAAATTGCTAATGACTGCAGGTAGTTACTGTAGTTACTACAATTACTTAGGTAACTGGTGTTATAAAACCTAATGAACAGTCCAAAAAAAATTTTTAAGCAATTCAAAACAGACCTAGGCCCAGCACATAATTATCAACAAACACTGCAACACTCATGTTTTGCCAGGGTTAAAAATAAAACACCTAAAATTTGAAGAGACTTTAAATGGAAGAAATATATAGGGAGAAGGGTTTTTAAAAATCAACCCAAGGAAAAAAAAATCAACCCAAGAAACTGTGACTGTTTCAGAAATCTAGAATGATACGATGAATCATTAGGATGGTGAATTTGACTTTTCCCTCGTTAAAAAAATGGAAGACACAGAAGGAAACCACAATCTGAAATGTGTGTCTGAAAAATTAGTCTTGTCCCTCAACAACGTCAGCAAAAATATTCCAATATTGACTCGCATACCTTGTGAGGTGGTCTTTGAGAATTAATTCAGTGCAGTAAAAGACAATCCCTCTTTGGGGAAATACACCACACACCCCCAGTCATATTCCTAACCAGTGCTTGTCACCTTCGGGGATACACAATCGCCAGGAAGGCTGAGGATTAGCGCTCAGTGGGAGTTTGACCTATTCAGCCAAAAGGTCAGCTTGCCACAGAAGAACCCATTACAAAACAGAAACAGGACAGCTCAGTGGACACACATAATGAAAGGGGGAAAAGTCACGGGTCCTACTCGCCTTGTGTCCTGCATTGCCCTTTTCCTTAGTAACTCTCCCCACCCCCATTTCCAGAGAAGGTGGAGCTGCCCCAGCTCCTCACCAACACAGTTCACATTAGGAAGGTAAAACACAGGCAGGAGAGAGGAAGGGGCTTGTTATGGAAAAGAGCATTTGAAAGAGACATTCGAGGTGAAGAGGAGTAGGGCATTGTCAGGCAGGGTTTCCAAAGGACTGTTTTATTAGGGAAAAGTTGTCATTGGCAAGCAGGGAAGGCCATTTTAGAGAGATTTTCTCATCGGGCCCCTCCCCATGGGAAGCAGTATGGCAGAATGGGTAAACGTAGCCTGAAGGTTCTGCAGGTGGTATTTCAGGGATGGAATCAACCACCTAATAAAAAGGCAAGCTTCACGGCTGCCCTCTGAACTCATCCTTCAAGGGGCAAGGCTCTGTTCCCACACTGAGCTTGGGGGGTAGGGAGGACGAAAGAGCATGCTTAATGGAATACTGGACATCGCTCCCTGGGCTTTAGCACTTGGGGTAAGCAAAGTCAGGGTCTGGGAAAGAATGGAGTATAGAATGCTTAATGAGTCTTTCCATGGCTACGGAAGAAAAGAAAAGGGATTTCCCTTGAAGAATCTCAATTAGCCTCCCTCACTGTAGGGCAAGGGAAGCCAAGGAAGGGTTTTCCCAGGAAGGAGCCTCAGAAGTTTATAAGGAGAGTGTGCGTGCCTTGTGTTTCCCTATCAAAATAAAAAGGTCTATGTATTCATTTAATATGGGACCAAATCTTCATTCTGAAACTGGTCCACACAGCTCTGCCTACTGCCCATATTCACAACTTGCATCCTTTCAACTGTAAGCCCCTCACTGGTTGTGCAAGGCTTAGACACTGGGGGAGTTTCAGATTGGGAGGGAGAGGAGATACTGGAAAA